TCCCCGTCCCCGTCCCCACACCCCCCAGAACCCCCAGAGCCTCTGGAGCCATGTCCGACCCCAAAAAGGAGCCTGGAAAAGCCTCGGAGCCTTCCCGGGGCCTTTTGTGGGGCGAGAGCGGTGGAGCAGCGCGAGGAGGAGGAGCGGGAATGGGAATTCGGGAATTCGGGAGCTGGAATTCCTCCGGAGATCAAACACCGAGGACGTCCAAACAAACCCGGATCCCATTTCCCCCTTTGTTCCTGTGTTGTTATTTTGGGGTTTTGTTGGGGTTTGGGTTGGTTTTTTGGGTTTTTTTTGGGTTGTTTTTATGGAACCCGAGGCCGTAAATCACAGCCTGGCATGGGGGAAGGGCAGGCGTGACCCCGCTGGGACGGATTGGGATCCCCCAAATCCGGCCCCGTTCCCAGCGGGATTCTCCAGGGGTTATCCCACGGTTTGGGGGGCTTTAGGATCGGTCATTTTCGGTGAGCAGAGCCCCCTAAATCCAGGGAACTGGGGCACCCTCACCCTTGGGGACATTGTGGGGACAGGGGGACCCTGTAGCTTGGGATCCCCCAAACCCAGCCCCGTTCCCAGCGGGATTCTCCAGGGGTTATCCCACGGTTTGGGGGGCTTTAGATCGGTCATTTTCGGTGAGCAGAGCCCCCTAAATCCAGGGAACTGGGGCACCCTCACCCTTGGGGACATTGTGGGGACAGGGGGACCCTGTGGCTTGGGATCCCCCAAACCCGGCCCCGTTCCCAGCGGGATTCTCCAGGGGTTATCCCACGGTTTGGGGGGCTTTAGGATCACATCCCAAACCCCAGGGCTTTCATTTCATTTATGGCCGCCGCTGCTGCGCCCCAATTCCAGGCTCAGCTCGGGCTTCATCCCGAGCCACAGCGCGGCTCGGGAATTCCGAGGCCAAGCCCAGCCCGGCACCTCGGGGACACTTGGGGTGTCCGGGGTCACTCTGGGGACTTTGTCCCCGTGCCCGGGGCAGGGCGGGGTGCCGGGGGCCAGGCGCCTTTTCCCGCTGCGATGATCCCGCTGATCCCGCGGTTAATGATTCCCAGGAATCCCAGCACCCACCCGGAGCCCGCGCCGGCCCCGACGGGTCCGACTGGATCGGCCGCATTGCAGCGCGGTTATGGGGCCGCGGGACTTCCTGGGACCGCGGGGACTTCATGGGGCTGTGGGGACTTCATGGGACCATGGGGAGTTTATGGGACCACGGGGACTTTATGGGGCTGTGGGGACTTTATGGGACCACGGGGACCTTCTGGGGCCACTGGGACCTTCTGGGGCTGTGGGGACCTTTTGGGACCACGGGGACTTCCTGGGACCACAGGGACTTTATGGGACCATGGGGAGTTTATGGGGCTGTGGGACTTCCTGGGACCATGGGGACTTCATGGGACCATGGGGACCTTTTGGGACCACGGGGACTTTATGGGACCACGGGGACTTTATGGGACCACGGGGACTTTATGGGACCATGGGGACTTTATGGGACCACAGGGACCTTCTGGGGCCACGGGGACTCCATGGGACCACGGGGACTTCATGGGACCATGGGGAGTTTATGGGGCTGTGGGACTTCCTGGGACCACGGGGACTTTACGGGACCACGGGGACCTTTTGGGGTCTCAGGACCTTCTGGGGCTGCGGGGACCTTCTGGGACCACAGGGACCTTTTGGGACCACGGGGACTTTATGGGACCACGGGGACCTTCTGGGGCTGTGGGGACCTTCTGGGGTCTCAGGACTTTAGGGGACTGCAGGACTTTTTGGGGTCTCAGGACTTTATGGGGCCATGGGACTTTTTGGGGTCTCAGGACTTTTTGGGCTCAGAGGAACTTTTTGGGGTCTCAGGACTTTTTGAGCTCACAGGAACTTTTTGGGGTCTCAGGACTTTTTGGGCTCACAGGAACTTTTTGGGGTCACAGGATTTTCTCCTGGTACAATGTGGGGCTCCCAGCTCGATGCTGGGATTCCGGGGAGATCCTGGAATCCCAGTACCAATGCCAGGTTCCCAGTTTGACCCAGAATCCCAGGGATCCCAGTTTGATCCCGGATTCCCAGTTCCGTGCTGGGATCCCAGTGCCACGTGGGGCTCCTGTCCCAGTGCCAGGTTCCTGGCACAGCGTGGGGCTCCCAGTTTGATCCTGGAATCCCGGAGCCGTGCCAGGCCCTCGCTTGGATCCCGAGATCCCAGTTTGGTCTTGGGATCCCAGTCCCATCCCGGTTTCCCAGTTTGATCCCGGTTTCCCAGCCCCATCCCAGTTTCCCATCCCAGTTTCCCAGTTGATGCCGGTTTCCCAATCCCATCCCGGTTTCCCAGCCTCATCCCACTTTCCCATCCTGATCCCGGTTTCCCAGTCTGACCCCGGTTTCCCAGCCCCATCCCGGTTTTCCATCCCGGTTTCCCAATCTCATCCCGGTTTCCCAGCCCCATCCCGGTTTTCCATCCCGGTTTCCCAGCCCCATCCCGGTTTCCCATCTCGGTTTCCCAATCCCATCCCGGTTTCCCAGCCCCATCCCGGTTTCCCATCCCGGTTTTCCATCCCGGTTTCCCATCCCGGTTTCCCAGCCCCATCCCGGTTTCCCATCCCGGTTTCCCATCCCGGTTTCCCATCCCTGTTTCCCAGCCCCATCCCGGTTTCCCATCCCGGTTTCCCATCCCGGTTTCCCATCCCGGTTTCCCAATCCCATCCCGGTTTCCCAGCCCCATCCCGGTTTCCCGGTGCCAGCCTCCCGCCGTGCCCGCAGCTCCCGGTGCCGGCCGAGCCCCGGGGGCGCCCGAACGCCGCGGGGGCCCGGGAGGGGCCGCGGCCGCCGCCCCCGGAGCCCGAAGCTCTCCATCCCCGCTCCCCCGCTCCCCCGCTCCCCCCGGCCCCGCCGGTCCCGGTGGCCGTTCCCGACCCGCGGGGCGCGGGGGGCGGCCCCGGCGCGGCGGCGGCGGCGGGGCCGGGACCGGGGCAGGACCCGGGAGCGGAAGGGGAGGAGGCCGGGGAGGAGCATCCAGGGCGGCCACCGCGGCAGCGGCTGAACTTTGCTCTTTCACGGGAGGCGGGGAGAGCCCCGGGGCTCGGCGGAGCCGGTCCCGCCGCACCCGCAGCCGCACCGGCACCGGGCTGCGAGCGGCGGCGGGGCCCGGAGAGCGGCGAGGGCGAAGCGGGGCAGCGCCGCCTCCTTCCTCCTCCTCCTCCTCCTCTCCTCCTCCTCCTTCCAGCCGGTGCCGCGGAGCGCAGGAGCCACCGGGGGCGGGAGCGGCCCCGCATGCGGCCGGTGCCCGCGGGGGGATGCGCCGCGCCCCGGCCCCGCCGCCGCCGCCGCCGCAAACTTTCCGCGGGGCCGTGAACCGGCAGGAGGAGGAGGAGGAGGAGAGCGACAAATCCCTGAGGGGGCGACCCCAAAAAAAAACCCTAAAAAAGAAAAACTACCCCCAAAAGCGGCGCTTTTCCCAGCCAGCGGTTCCTCGGTAAAACTTACCGAACTCGGCGTGGGGAAGCGGCGGGAGGAGGAGAACCGGGAGGGGAAGAACCGGGAGGAGGGAACCGGGAGGAGAGAACCGGAGAAGAACCGGGAGAAGAAGAACCGGGAGCAGAACCGGCACCGAAAGCAGAACCGGGAGCAGAAGCAGCATCGGGCGGGGAAGAACCGGGAGGAGGAGAAGCACCGGGAGAAGCACCGGGAGGAGCACCGGGAGCGGCGGCAGCACCGGCAGGCTCCGCTCGATGCGGCGCTGAGCCCCCGCGGCCCCGCGGAGCCATGGCCATGGTGGCCGGCGCTTGGGGCGAGCCGAACGGCGGCGGAGCCGGCGGCACCGGAGGCGGCGGCGGCGGAGCGGAGGAGGCGGCGTCCCCCGGCGGCGGCGGCAGCGACGCGGAGCACGGCGAGGAGGAGCGGCCCGGGGCCGGCGCGGACTGCGTGGTGTGCGGGGACAAATCCAGCGGGAAGCACTACGGGGTGTTCACCTGCGAGGGCTGCAAGAGCTTCTTCAAGCGCAGCATCCGCAGGAACCTCAGCTACACCTGCAGGTGACAGCGGCGACACCGGGGACACCGGGGACACCGGGGACACCGGGGACAGCGGGGACAGCGGGGACA